CAGGCAGCCCTCAAAGGAAGCCAGAGAAGCAGTCCTTAATCAAGACCATGTTAATTCAGTTCGTTTGGCTCGCTCGGATAGTGATTGTCTTCCTCTTTATCAAATTTATGCACTTCATGTGAATTTTAATACTACAAAAGAGAACGTGTGCACGCTTCGCTTCTGCTACAATCTGCAGAGAATAAAAGCCAACCCTAAGATCTACAGTGCTTTCCTTGCCTTCAGCAGAAGACATCTGCCAGGACGATCCCGACCATACCGAGAGTCGAAATGCCAAGCTATGAACCTCAAGGACAAAATGCTGCCGCCTCCTGGCTCCTAGCACTTGAACTCTAAACCTCGTATAGCAGTAGAAGTCGTCGTTGCCGCCGTACTCGTAGTGTGTTGTAGCTGCCGTTGTAGTTGTAGTGGCACCGTAGCAGTAGCAACAACAGTAACAGAAGCAGTCAAACCCTAACCCCTTTACACCCTAAACCCCAAACCTCAAATCCTGAGCCTGAGAGCAGCCTTTTTGCCGCAGGCCCTAAACCCTATATCCACCCTCCCCTGCTGGGGCTCGGTCCCATGGAATTTCGCTGTAAGCTTCTCCTGCTTGCGCATTCAGGTCGCGAGGGTGTGGGCATAGGTCTCATAGGGTTTAGGGGTTGAGGGTTTAGGTTTCATAGCGTTTTTTGGGGTTTTAGGGTCTAGGGTTTAGGGTTTAGGGTTGCGTAAGATTTGTCAGGGGTGTACAACAATCTGCGCTTGACGTGGTTTCCATAGCTACCCATAGGCCCCATAGTAGTTCCTGTTTGGGGTTCATATTTAGAATCCTATAAGGTAATCCCCAAAAAGGAACCACTATGGGGCCTATGGGTAGAGCTGAAGATTTCAGCTTTTGAAGCCTCGCCGAGCCTCAGCTACGAAACCAAAGCTCCTGACACCGATTCTCTGAGCCCCGGTTTAGGGTGTAGGGTTTAGGGTTTCATCGATTCTCTGAGCCCCAAATAAGGCAGCAGCTGCAGCAGCCCTAAACTCAGAACTCTGACCCGTAGGTCCTAAACTCTGGGTACTGGCCCTCCTACACCCACAGTCTTTGAGAAGGGCATCTTCTGGGTCCTTCTGGGGCAGTATTCAACCTAAACACTCTCTTGAAACGTGTCAAGGGGCTTCCTGACCCTAAGCCCTAAATCCTAAACCCTAAATCCTAAACCCTAAATCCTAAACCTTAAATCTATTATAGAAACTTGTCAAAAAAAAAAGTTCCCTTCCGAACCCAAAATCTGCAGAGACTGCGGGCACAACTGTGGAAGAGGAACTCGCACCCACACCCGGGTCTTGCTTCCGGTTTTAGGGTGCTGTAGGGTTCTATACGGCTTACTCTGGATAATTTGTGACGGTTAGAAGGAATGGCTCCCGATTTTCGCTCATTGGGTGGTGATAGTATCAGCCTTCAGGTCACCTAATAAACCCTAAACCCTAAGTCCGTATATATAGTGCTACTATATTGCACACCCAAACCCTAAACCCTAAACCCTAAACCCTAAAAGCCCTAAACCCTAAACAGTCCCAGACTCTAATTATGAACGCATGCCCCGATATTCGATCACCCCAAGAGCACCTCACAAGGCATGTGGGAACCCCAACCCTGGAACTCCAGAAATGCCCGAACACGTTTAGGGTTTGGGGTGTTAGGGTTTAGGGTTTTAGGGTTTAGGGTTTTAGGGTTTTAGGGTGTAGGGTTTTAGGATTTAGGATTTAGGTTTTAGGGTTTTAGGGTTTAGGGTACTGAACACTCTACGAAACTACGCCGTGAGGACGGTACCAGGAATCACTAAGGCTTCTACCCTAAACCTCAAGCTTAATGCCCCAAACCCCTGATCCCTGTGCTCGAAACCTCAAACCCTGAACCTTCCGCAACGCATCCGAGTGGCGGCTGCTTCGATGAGGCTGGACCAACCTTTCAGGGAGCTACTCCACGTTGCTATGGTGAAGCTTTAGACGTTTTGTTTTGGTAGCGTTCTTATCGGGCTTCAGAAAAATCTTACACTGTCTTTCAGGGTTTCGTTACTAAGGAGACAAAAAAGGGTTTCATGAACTGCTGGGTCTGGAAGAAGCTTTTGTGGCCAGCCTTTGGGAAAAATGTAGCGGGTGTTGCGGCGCTTGGCGCGGATTTCGGGATCATTGATTATTGATTTTGGGTTAAACGCTAAGCCCGAAACCGGCTTGGGGCTAGCGTTCGGCGTTTAGTAAGGGTCTAAAGGAGTAGGGATCGACCGTACTTTCAACCTAAACCCCAAAAACCCCTAGATCCTCTACGTCCTGTTGCAAAAGGACATCGTGTCAACTGTATCGTAAGTTTGGGCTTTAGGGTCCAGGGTTTCAAGAAGGAGCTCCATCAAAAAAACGGTTGAATTTTAGGACTACTGGCAAGCTTAAAGTGTGGCATAGCTGACGAAAGGCTTGTAGTCTCGAGTCCAGCATGCGTGCTTTGCGTTTCTGGTGTGTGAAATTGAGACTACGACACGTCACAATAACTAGACACGTCGCAGTAACCGGAACAGGGTCTTAGGGTATTTGCGAGTACAAACTTATAATGAGCTAAAGGAATGGTATTATAGCAAGTATCAATGATAAGCCTCGGCTTTGAGCTGCTTGTGGCTGCTAGGGTTCAGGGCTGCTCGTGCGTGCACGAGGGCACAATGCATACTTCGTAGCTACCTTTGCGGTTTCCGGCGTCACAGTTGGCGCCTGCCACATGACATATCTTGGTTTAGGAGTTTGTAATTTTACCCACGCCCTGAAAGACCTACCAAAAACTCGTGTCAGCACGAAGTCGCATTATACTTACAAGCCTGTGTGCCAACTGATCCTCCAAATGCAGGCCCTGAGTAAAGTGTTGGCCTTAATAATTAGAGTAGGGTCTTGGGGGCTCCTTATTATGATTATGGTACAATATAACCCCCAAACCCTATTCCAATTCTGAAGACCCCTAAGCCCTAAACCTTTCCCTTTAAAGGAACCCCCAAAATCCTATTCTAACTACCAAGGCCCCTACATGAAGGTGTGTCTTCACGGTCTCTCTATACGAGAAAGAGCCGCTTTTGTAAGGGCCTTATCCTAAGAATTACAAGATATAACAAAATTATAATGTTTAGGGTTTAGGGTTCAGGTTACGTCATAACAAATTATAATAGACATCCCCTCTGTCCTGCTAGTCATGTCTGACTCTCCCGAGCCTTCCCCCGGCAACACAAGAAGGTGACAAAGCGACGCTTGGCGAAATAAAAAGGTGACAATGAAACACAAACCCTATAAGGTTCTTCAAAACAGGTTTTTTTCCCTTCAAAACAGGTTTAGGGTTTAGGGTTTATAAACCCTAAACCCTAAACCTGTTATGAAGATTTCCGCCTCCGCTCGGCCCCCACATGGACCCTCGGATGCGCCCCTTCGCACCGTCCCCAGAATGATCAACACGATGCTTTTGTTGGGCTTAAGGTTTAGGGCTTCGGGTTGAGGGTCCCGAAACCCCCAACTCTGGCATAGACAACCCTTGACCCCGAAAGTCCCAAACTTACCTAAACCCAAACCCTGAAAGCCCCAAAAACGTGGAGGGCCTTCCTCCTCTACCTCTGGGATGGGCTGCGGTCTTTGATACTTGTCCGGAATAATGGCCTCGGCGAGTGTTTAATAGAGTTCTCGCGCCTGATGCTTCAAATCTTCTTACGGCGGAGGATGCGGAACAGGGGTTTCCTATCTCCGGGTTTCAGGTAGCCTTTTCATTCTTTGTTCTTCTGGTTCTTGAAGTTAGTCAAATGCTTGTCGGACCCTTTTCAGCACGGGCTCTGGGTGTCTCATGATTTTCATGAGACACCATGAAACTAAATCTTTGTCAGGAAAACCCTAAACCCCGCTCCATAAGTCCGGTTTTCCCCAGAGATCGCGGCTGAAGCCAGGCCCGTCCATCCCAACTCTTCCAGAGAGCCCAATTGGGGTTTAGGGCTTAAGGTTTTAAAAGGGAGAGTTCAATACCCTTTCCCTGAGACTCGAAGTGCACGTACAAACAAATCTCACTTTGGGGTCTTGACTCTACAAAAACGGCACTTTTTTGATTTGGGCTACTTGGAGTCCTAGAGATTGAGGACTGTTTCAGTGGATCTAATTTTGGGGCTGGGCCTGGGGCTATAAAGTACCGAATCATTGGGCCTTAAACGAGTGTCAGAGTCAGAAAGCCTGAGACAGCCCATATGAGCCTGAACAAATTTATGGGAACTATAGGCACGGGGCATAGCATCTTTTAACCAAAGCGCCTACAAATAGACACTAAACCCCAGCGGCATGGCTGCCCGTAGCAAACTAGACTACGTAGTCCACCTGCTACATGAGGCTTACCCCCTAATTGAAGACCCTAACCCTAACTGCTAAAGGGTACTTTATAGGAACCCCCTTAGGGGATCAATCTTTTAGGATCCTCCCGGTGGTCCCTAAACCCTATAAACCCTCAACTCTGGGTAGGGTTTACAGATTATTTACCAAACCCCAGGATGCTCCACAACTTCATGATGTCAGGCCGAAGCCAACGACGACTTGCAGAACAAGAAACAGGTGCAACATGGTTTAGAGTTTAGGGCTCCGAGTTTAGGGTTTAGGGTGGGTCCACACCCAACATCCTCGCAATCCAGCCATGGCAGCTATCACAAACATATGAAGAAAGACCTCTTTTCGGCATCAGGGCGAGTGTCTTCCTGGTGCTGCTAGTTCAGGACTAAAGCCAAGCTGTAGTTTTACATAACAGCCTTGGAAACTAAATAGCGGCCTGTATTCACAGGCTATCTACAAGACTATAGTCAGCTTAGCTGACTGCTGGCTTACAATAGGCCATTCCGCACATACATCCACATCATGCCAGCCCAAGGCACAACAACCTGATATAGGGCCTTGATAGTTAGAGGGTTTTAGGGCGGTATACGATAGTGTAACATGTACTCAGACGCCTACAGGTAGTTATTCGGGCCCCTATATTACGAACTAGGGTTCTGCGTGCTAAAGGCCATGAGCCTCGCTTCCAGCGACATGCTCCTCGGCAGGCTGTTCAACCAGTCCTGGTCTTCGCGAGAGGACCATGGGGGGTGTGAACGTGCTCGCTGCTGGGCACCCGGCGCTACATTTGAGGAAGAGCGAGCTACCTTCTTTGGTGTGCCTCGTGCATCGCAGGGCAGCTGGCTGACAGCGTCCCGTACCATGGCGTTAGCATCCAGAATGAAGCGCGGCACTGGCACTTTGTTCACGTGCGTCACGACCCACCCAAGATTGACTCTGGGATTGACTCTGGCACTATTAGCGTAGTCGGAGCTAACGTGTGTGACAGTCAAGGGCGTCGTGTCCGAGAATCGAAGCCCCAAGGGTCTTGATTCGAAGTAGGCATCTTCGTGCAGCCCGTTCGGCCTGCTAAAGGTCAGCGTTACCCCTTTCATTGAAGGCTGTAGGCGGTCCTCAGTGCTCTCTGATACTTGCAGCCTTTGGTGGATCGGAACAGAGGGTTCATTCACAGAAGTCTGCGGCTGCCGTTCCGCTGCTGAGTCGGCATTGCGCAGTTGCTCCGGCTTGTCATGGCTGCACTGCCATCCATCCAGGGGCAAGCTCGGGCTCAACCTGTCAGCTGTAATGGATTCGGCCGCGTACTTGGAACTTTCGTCCAACGTGCAGCAGTGACAATTGATGGCCATATCGCCCATGGCTCAAACCCTAAACTGGAAACCCGAATCCTAAACCCTCAACCCGAACCAAAAACCCTACCTAACCCATAACCCTATGAACCCTAAACCCTCGAAAGAACCTGCAGCCCTACCTGCCCCATCTGATGGACCTGAGTCGACTCTGCAATGCTGGTAGATTAAAAGTACCTCTGGCCCAAGGTTTAGAGTTTAGGGGTCTAGGGTTGAGGGTTTAGGGTTTGTGGCCCAAAGGACTTACCTTTTTAATGGACTATATGTAGGAATCCTAAAAAGGTAGGTCTTTTCGGCTACAGGTGGGGCTTGGGGTTTGAAGGTTTGGGGTTTTAGGGTTTCGACTCTGGGTTCTCAGGTTTAGCGCCCAGGTTCGGGATTGACTTCCTCAGTGGGATCGTTTAGGGTTTAGGGTTTCAGGGTTTCGGGTCTAGGGTTTTCTTTTTTGGAAAAACGTCCATGCGAATGCGGCTTGCATCTAGTGTCTCTATTCTTTCTCCCTGCAGGGGTGGTTTTTGCGGAAGCGTCGTACATGCCGTGGCTCTCGCGTTTGTTGTTTACCAAGAGCCCAGCAGCGCCACATGCAAAGTTGCTTTCTTAAAACAGATTGCCTTAAGGACCGTGATGACGACGGTGAGGATGATGATGGTGGTGATGATGATGATGTTGGTCATGAAGTTGATGCTACTGATTGCGCTGATGTTGGTATGATGCTAGTGGTGTCGATGTTGTTGCTTGTTCAGACGGAGGATAACGATGGTGGTGATGATAGCTATAATACTATAGCGATGACAATGACAAGAACATGTTGCTCTCTGTTGCTGCTGTTTCCTGTTACTTGTCAGACGCTCCCACCAGAACAGCCTCGCGTTTTGTGGGCTTCCCACACAAAAACTCTAAACATGAACGCAAAAGTAGTGTTTGTCTGGTGCCAAATGCAGGTTGTTTTGCTCTCTGTCTGAAACCACGAACTTGTCCTAAATGGGTAATTCTCTAAATTAGGGTCCCTTTTGGGGTCCTGCTTATCAGGGTGCCGTACTATCTTAGGGACTTAAAACAAGGGACCCTGTAATTTAGAGAACTACCTGAATAGCACGCTTGGTAACCCTAAACCCTAAACCCTAAACCCTAAACCCTAATATCTGGCCAAACACACAAAACCCTGACTCCACGGCCTGGCGACCACAGGAACACATCGCAGAAACCACACTTTTTTAGATGCTAGCATTACAAAATACCCACATTACGCAGTACGAAAGACATCTCTGACCCAACACACATGCACTGCACACTCAGACGGGATGTGGAATCTAGCTGCATTTACGGCCCCGAAGTTACATCTGCAAACCTACAGTGCGCAGGGGTTTAGGGTGGTTTTAGGGAAAAGAGACTCAAGAACATATACTACCTTCGAAGGTTCCTTGTGAAAGTTCCTCAAAAAGGATCAAAAAGGCAGGCTTTTTGGGGTACGGGTAATCTTTAAGTCTTTAGGGTTTAGGGTCTGCTTGCGCGAAAAGTGCTCGGGAGGTTATGCTTCGCCGAAACATGCATCACGCATCCTTAACGCTACTAATTGCTAATGACAGACTATCTCTTGAATGCAGGAACCACAAAGCATTGAAGTGGACGCCTCCGGGCATCCAGGCAAAGGCACACCCTAAACTTTTGAACCCTTAAGCCCTCGAACAAGGCCAAGGGCGTAAACTCTAAACCCTAAACCCTAGCATAGGGACCTCACAAGACATGAGCCCATCCTTTGTCGGGCTCCGTAAGGGCCGTGAAAGGAAATGGGATTCTTGGTGTTTTGACGGGTTTCTACCGGGACAAGGAAATAGGATTCTCGGTGTTTCAGCGAGTTGCTACAGGGACAACGCTGCCTGAATCATCTGAGTCCGGCTGTGGGGTAATGCTGCTACAGCCCGCCTTATAAGGATTTAGGATTTATATGCAGTAGGGCCATGTAGGGCCTATAGAGCCCTAAACCCTAAACCCTAAACCCTAAACCCTAAAACCCTAAACCCAGAGTGCGGGCCTTTGGGGTCGATAGCTCGGACATCAAGTGCAAGGGCGATTCCGGGTGTCTTCATCCCTAACCCTGGATTCGGGTTTAGACGGTTTAGGGTTTAGGGTTTAGGGTTTAGGGTAAACTAAAACCATACTGAACTTAGGCCCCAAGCAAAAACTATAAGTTTAGCTGCTTCTTAGGGTTTATAGTAGCCGAAGATTAAAAAATATTTCTAAGTACCCCTAAGAAAACCTAAACTGCTAAGCAAGGTGCTCAGAAGGTGGCTCGATACTGTCAGAACAAGATCGACAGCTCGGTAAGCAAAGACTAAACTCACCCACATATAAGGACCTTGCGAACTGAAACAACGTTTGGGGTATGCTGCAATATCGCTATAATGAAAATATATACCTTATATTACATGCAACTCAACTCCAAGAAGGCACATCTTCCGTTAGGCATTCCGAAGTCAACGAGGACTTACGCAAAAAAGGAACATCAACGTACAAAACACACATAGATCCCACCCAGGTAATCGCACTCAACGTTCGGAGAGCATAATCACTTGGACAAACCCTTCTTTTCGTCTGCAGGATGTGCCGAGTTGAGCAGCGTCTTGCTAGTTCGGCCGCTAAAGCCAAGCAAGGTCCTGGACGGGTCCTACACAACAGCAAGGAAAGCAGTTGGTCGCCTGTAGTTAATGTAGGGACCTTAATAATTAGAATGCGGCTTTGGNNATAATATATATATATATATATTTAGGTAATTATTGAAGCCCCTACATTACAAGCTTGCTAAGAAGACTAAGTGAGTCAGCTCCGCTGACCGCTGGTTCTCGAATGTGCGCGTTGGGAAAATGAAGAAGACCATGCGTTCACATCGTGCCAGCTCAAAGCTGGGACGACTTCATGTACGGGCCTGCATAAAACAAATGGGGTTTAGTCGAATCTTATACTGCAAAAAACGGAATCTTGGTAAGTATCCATGCCCTCAGACTAGGTAGCACTGTTAAACGTTCTTCTGGATGAAGGCTCTAAGGTTGGCTTCTGTGGACGGGCCCCTGGGCAGGCTGTCCAACGAGGCCTCAGAAAACTTCCTCCAGGGAGACCGTCGGTCTCGTTGCTTTGTGGGCAGCGCCACATCCGCGGCCGAGAGGTGCGACTTCGCCCGCTTTACACGCGGCAGCTGACTGACTGCGTCCCGGACCAAGGTGTTGGCGAGGAGAATGGAACGTGGCACCGGCACTTTGTTCACGTGCGTCACGACCCACCCAAGACTGACTCTGGCACTACTAGCGTAGTCCGAGCTAACATGTGTGACAGTCAAGGGCGTCGTGTCCGAGAATCGAAGCCCCAAGGGTCTTGATTCGAAGTAGGCATCTTCTTGCAGCCCGTTCGGCCTGCTAAAGGTCAGCGTTACCCCTTTCATTGAAGGCTGTAGGCGGTCCTCAATGCTCTCTGATGATAGCGCCCTCCGGTTGATCGGCAATTCCGTTGCTGGGTCGGTATCTCCCAGCTGTTCAGGTGCATCAATGGATTTCTTCAACTCATCAGCTGGAGAAGTTGTAAACCAATATGATGCATCCAGGCTCGGGATCAACTCGATCAACCAGACAGGTTTGACTTCATACTTGGAGCACTCGTCCAACCCGCAACAGAGACAACTCATAGCAGGATCCTACGGGAGAGCTCGAAAGCTAACTCCAGTCTCGCCTGCCCCTTGCCGGATGGCCACGAGCAGAAAATCGGCAGAGTGCTACATGTGTGAAAAGCTTATCAAGTACCAAGACCCTTTCAGAACCTGATTCAGAAACCCACACGTCCCTTATACGAGCCCTCTAGAACGCTACCCACCATATTCTGCTTCCCCCCCATATATCGCACAGGTACTTAGTCCCCTAAACTCGAAACCTGTAGGACGCAAGTAGGATGACCAAGAAGTGCAGCAAAAGGAAACCCCTTTTGCATCCGGGTTTGAAAAGCAAACCCCGAAACCCTAAACTCTAAACCCTAGACCCTAAACCCTAGACCCCAAACCCTGAACCCTAAAACCTAAACCCCTAAACCCCAAACCCCTAAACCCTTGTAGGAAAGCCGACGAAACCGGAACCTCGAGCTCCCGCTACTGAAGCTCGCCGACGACTTCTAGGGCTTAGGGTTTGGGCGTTCAGGGTTTCGCGTGTTTAGGGTTTTAGGGTTTAGGGTTTCAAGGTTTAGGTTTGCAGGGTTTTGGGGTGTTTAGGGTTTTTTGTTGCACAACCCTTTTTCCCCCCGCCAGGGTTTAGGGTTTAGGGTTTAAGGGTTGGGAGTTCAGGGTTTAGGGCTTGGGGGCTCAGGGTCTATAGGGCATAGGCACCATGGCCTATGGATTTTGCTACGATGGGTATAGGGGATACGAAGTAGCCCTGAACACTTTTAGCATCTGCTACCTAATTCAACATGGCTTCCGAGGAACCCCATGCGTCTAGTCGGCTTTTGATAGGGTTTAGGGTTCAGGGTTTAGGGTTTTCTATAGGGGCTAGGTCCTTCAGTGTTCTAGGTTGGCCTTAAGACCCCTTTGACAAAAGCTCGTAAAGAAAACGACAGTCCTCTAGGGCCCAAAAAAGGGAAAGTATAAAGTGTCCCGAAGGCCGCCTAGTTTTCAGACAATACTGGAGTTCTGTTGCTTCTTGTCGGACCAAACAACATGCGAAGCCGTTTGCAATCAAGAGTCCAGTACCCTCAAAATGACCCAACAGGTTTTATATGGTGTGGTATTTGGGCCAAAAAGCCTTAAACCATGAGTCCTTCGAGCCTTTGGGGTAATTGCGCTTTCAGACCCGAAACTTGGGATTGACCAAAGCCTACACTGCGAATCCCAATTCCGTACTGCCCTAGTGCTCAACACTAGTAAGGGCAACAATGGGTGAAGTAGTTCGGGTTCCTGGTGAGGGCGTCGTTGAGAGCTGCAAGGAGCTTGTAGCCTTTGTGGCGGCTTTGAATTTGGATACCTCGCAGCAGCCCCAACCCTAAACCCTAAACCCAAATCCATCCTTCGTCGAGGGGCAATCTTCAACACCGCCGACATCTGCTCGTAGTTGAAGCCCTCGCCGACGGTTGAGACGACGTAGTCGTCTTCGTGTCCTGGGTTTAAGGTTGGAAGTCTAGGGCTTAGGGCCCCCAAATTCCGCCAAACCCAAATGGTCCAAGTATCATTATAGTAGGCGCGTAGTAGATACGTGGGCCCAAACGTATATACTAAGCTGTTACTTGGATCCTTTGGAAAAGTTCCTATAATAGTACAGCCTGGATGTTTGTGGCCCAGTTATCTTCTGGAGCCTAACCCAAGCCCCTAAGCCCCGTAAACCCTTTGGGTCAGGAGTGTTACCTTGTTCTCGGAGACTACTGTACCCTTCAAGCAAGGGGATGCTTTTCCATACAATACAATACAACCTCATTTTGAGGTTGTGCAAACCTCTGTTGAGAAACCTCTCTTGGTTAAGCCATACTTAGCCTGGTGGGTTTGGCTTCAACTCTGTAACTCTAGCATGAGTCAGCGTATCGTTGAAAGCTCGGTGAAGAACTAGCACTAAAACTTCTAATGAAGCAACACGCTGTACCTTAAATCACAGACATGCTATACATGGAGGAACAATGCTTAATTAATTGCTGGGTTTGGGTAAATTGCTGGGTTTGGGGAGTCTCTATTTAACGAACTAGAGCCAGATATGATTCTGCACGGGATGCCCTCGTGATTTCAGTCTGGGAGCAAATTGAGTGTTGCGCTTCAAGAGGGATTATGACAGCTCCTTCTCTTTCAGTGAAGTGCCAAGCCCACTGTTGAGGTTGAAATCAGTTATATAGGGGCCTTAACAATTGCAGCAGGGTTCGGGAGCTCTGACTGCAATGCGAGGAAGCCTGCGAACAATATGGGTAATTACGGTATTTCAGGTTTTATGCCCAACCTCAAAGAAACCTTTGCGGGCTAGTAGTAGTAGTAGTAGTA